CTTCCGAAATATTCACTAAATTATGAAATACATGCAAGGTGTCTTTTTTTTTTTCTTTTAACTTTCCGCTTGACAAATTCAAAACTACACTTCCGTATTCATCACTAAATTGTGAAATTAACAAAACCATTGTAGAGTGAATTCGAAAATATACTTCTAGACTAAATTTTAAGAATATATTTTAGAGTGAAATAGATACCTATTTTCAAAATTAAAATTAAGAGGATAATTTTGTGAGTTTTCAAATGATGATTCTTGATGAGTGAGGTGAGAAGAGCAACCCTAAATTTAGAGTAACACCCATCAGCCATGGACCTTAGCTAGCCCACATAACTAAATCAAACCCGAAACCAAAAAAATCGGTAGACACGACCACCCGCCTTCTGGCCACCAATCCCTCACAACAGTACGCTACACTACTCAACCTCCTTCTCTCACTCTCACTCTCACTCTCACTCTCACAATCCTTTTGGGGGTTTTTTCTTCTCTCCAAAACCCTAAAAAAATTCGACCCCATTCACAATGAAACGCGTTTGGCGATTCACTTCAGAAGCAGCACAAGCTTCCAGATTCAACCAAACACGCCACCAATCAAATCCCAAATCCATCCCCATTCTCCACACCGCCAAGTTCACCCAACGACGGACGACTACCCTGCGACAGCCAAGCATAGTACTCGACCTCGTTTCAATGTTCAAAGTCTCTATTCCACCTTACGAAAGGCATCTCATCGATGGAATCGCGATTTTGAAGAACAAATTGCTTTGTGAAGCTTCTGATTCCGTTAGGGTTGCAACCATTTTGGAAGATAATTCTGAATTGCTGCTTCGCTCTCATCCGGTTTTTCTTGAGCTTTTGAATCTATTGAATTCAAACCCTTCTCTTTTACTAGAGGTATCATTCTATTCAATTTCTTTACTTCAACTTTTCTTCATATTTATAGATTCTAAATTTCAAAGAAATGTTATCAATCACTGATCAAACTCCACTATTATACATTGCATTACGTAGCGGTACATAAATATTTGATTTTGAGGGAATTGGTTCTCTAAAATTGACAATTGCTATCTGCTCAAATTTCATTTAGCTATTTGACAATACTGTTTCAAAGCAAATAGCCCTTACTTACCCTTTGTGTTTATTATATTGTTCAAATAATCAACATTCAGGTGTTTAATTGGAGAAGGAAGAGACATGTTTCTGAAATTGATGCTTGTAGGAATTCCATGAATGCACATGAATATTCCAAGGGTATCAAAGCGGCCGGAAGATTGAAGAATATTGATCTTGCTGTTAAGCTTTTTAGGGAGGCTGAAAAGAAGGGTGTGAAGATAACCGGCACTTACAATGCATTAATGGGTGCTTTTATGTTCAATGGTCTTGCGGATAAATGCCACTCTTTGTTTCTTGACATGAAAAAGGATCCAGTTTGCCCTCCTTCCGTTGTTACGTACAATATTGTTATATCTGTTTTTGGTCGCTTGATGCTAATTGATCACATGGAAGCAGCATTCAAGGAGATGGCTGAGTTACGCCTCTCACCGAATGTATCGACTTATAATTATTTAATTGGTGGATATATCTCCACCTGGATGTGGGATGATATGGAAAAAGTTTATCAAGTGCTAAAGTCAGGCCCTGTTGTGCCTAATATGAAAACCTACCTCTTAATGATTCGTGGATATGCACACCTTGGTAATCTAGAGAAGATGGAAGAGATATATTCATTGGTAAGGGATCATGTAAATGAAAATGAAATGGCGATTCTCAGGGTTATGATATGTGCCTATTGTAAAAGTTCTGATGCAGATAGGATAAATAAAGTAGAGGCTTTGTTAAAGTTGATCCCTGAAGAAGAATACAGGCCCTGGTTAAACGTGTTGTTGATTAAGCTTTATGCCCGGGAAAACTTGTTAGAGAAAATGGAGACTGCAATAAATGAGGCATTTGAGCACAAAACCGCTGTTACAACCGCAAGCATAATCAAGTGCATAGTTACAGCTTATTTTCGGCTCAATGCGATAGAACATCTTGAAATTTTCACTAGGCGTTCTGTATTTGCGGGGTGGAGGATCTGCCACTCCTTGTATCATTGTAAGCTGGTCATGTATGGCTCACAGAAGGACCTTAGAAAAATGCAAAATGTCCTTGAGGAGATGGATGATATCAACATGAATCGCAACAAGAGAACATTGTTGATAATGTACAAAGCTTACTGGAATTCTGGTCAGAAATCCATGGTTTTGAAAATATTGGGACAAATGTTCAAGCATGGTTATACAGTTCCCAATGACGCATTTCCATCATGATTTATATTGCTGAGATCCATCACATATTTCATTACCGTAGCTATGAGCACATTCAGTAGATGTAAGTGAAGAAGTTCATTACAATTGCCATAAATTGAATTTGGGGCAAAGGGACACGCAGCTCGTTGAGAATATATTTGATGATTGGATTGCATTCGAGGAAATTCTTTAATTATGGTTGTACGTGGCCTTACTATTAGATTTATTTTTAAAAATGGACTTCTTCAGCGGGTTACCATTGCAAATAATTTGCAGGTATTCATTTTTCTATATATTTTAGTGGATTTATTCACGTTGTTTACCTATTTTCTCTCTTTTGGCATTATAATGCGTATTGTTTGCATTTGATTTTAAGCTTATGTTGGTTCTGTTTGCCTTCAAATTTAAATGTCCCAATTATGGCTTTGACTTGAGTGGTGCCTCTTGCATGGGTTATGCACAGAAGCACTGTTTTTAAATTTCCCAATTGTGAAAATGGCTCAAATGATGCCTCTTGCACCGGTTATGCACGGAAGCTCCATTAACTTTATTAATTTTTTTAAATCCGATCAGTTTATTTAAATTATAAATCAATGAATCAATATATAAAATCAAATCATCCTCACTGCCAGCCTGATTTATATGTTGCTATAATACTGTTAATAACTATAACTTGCTTAGAGTCTATGTTGTCAATAGCACCCCTATATAGGCATGGCATGGCGGAGCAGCCCCTCACTCTACGCCATTTATCTGCCTACCCACCCGCCTAACAAAGTTGCAATTATAGCGGTTGAATGGCGTTTTGGTGACAACCCTTATTAGGGTTCTGGGGGGAAATTCCCCAAATATACTTGTTTTGTTTTTTAACTTTTTTGTTTGTTTGTTGATTTGTATTGGCACTTTTGCACATCATTAAGTGACCTATTTTAATCCATGTTTCTCTCATCCACTTTTCTTCGATTCTGCATGTTCTGCATTTTTTTTTCCGTTTCTTCTTCCTTCGTATTATGACTGCTTCCTTTGCCTGAGATTGTCTGTTCTTTCTCTGCGTCTTATTCCTGCATTTCCTTGGTCTTCTGACGCCGTGGTCTTGATCTGTTTCTCTGCCAAGGTTTGTATTTGTTCTCTTGCTCTGTTTCTCTGTTGTGTTCATCTTTTCTTAGTTTGGTACTTGTGCTCTGTTCTGCTCTTTTTCGGTCCTTCTGTTCTGTTCTACTCTTTTTCGGTCCTTCTGTAACTTCTGTTCTGCTCTTTTTCGGTCCTTCTGTAACTTCTGTTCTGTTCTACTCTTTTTCGGTCCTTCTGTAACTTCTGTTCTGTTCTACTCTTTTTCGGTCCTTCTGTAACTTCTGTTCCGCGTTTCCTCTGTTCTGTGCTTCTCTTCATCTTCAGTGTCTCTGTTTAGGTTTATTTTTCTGTCTTCATTGCTCTGTTTCATGTTTATTCTTTTTTTAATGTTTGTTCTTCTCTGTTTAGGTTCTATTTGTGTTATGCTTGCTTACATTTAGAACTTGATTTTGATGGTATGTCTTTTTAATTACATTAGAACTCATTTCGATGGGAAATGACAAAGTTGTTTATAATTAATTAAGCATGATTATCCCTTTAGTTGTTTATGTTTCTATTTGAGTATTTATGTGTTGTTGGAATTTATGTTTGTTTTGTACACTGTTTTTTAGTCTTCACACTAGCAGTTATCCTGCTATCTGCCATAGCGCTATTGCATTTTAGGGGTTTGGCGCTACACATCGCAATCTGAGATTTACAAAAATTGATGCATTTTCTTAAATTTTGTTGTACACTTGAGGGTGTTGTCCAATTCATTCTTAGGTCCTTATTTGTAGATTTTTAGTCTTCCAAAACTACCCGCAAGGGAAAAGTTTATGTTATGAATGCATCTAGATTCTAAAGAGCTATTCTAGCACCCGACTTGGTTGTTTAAAACTAACTTTTGATTTTGATGCCTCTAATTTGTTTTGTTTACAGTGGTGTAGTTGACTGTTCTGAGGCGACTGGATCCAAGATCTTTTAATTTCCGAGTGGTCTTCTAGGTGTTTTATCTGCCAATTGAAATTGTATTAGAGAAGCTTAAGGAAGGTTAAATATGGAAGTAGTCAGTGAGTGAAGGCAACAGCTGGAGTTTCAATGTTAAATGCTGCTGCAATTGATGGCTGTCAATCCTTGTATTTGGAGCCAACCTTCTCTTAGAAATGGTTGATTGATCGTGACAGTAATGGGGCCCTCTAGATTGAAAGCCATAACCAGGGAAGAAATGAAAAATCAATTCAAGTTAGCTAAGGATTTTCCAGGGTATACATAATCCATGCTCTCAACTTGCTGCTAGTTACCAACAGAAGCTGTCCTTATATGGTCGAATATGAAATTTTGAGGACTAAATTTAATGAAATGAATTCAGTATTCATCAAATACCACAAAGGTTGAATGAGCCAGTGCAGAACATGGAACACGATATTTATGAGTTGCTTTCAGAAATAAGATGATGAGATTGGAGTAGTTCATGCATGTAATGCTGAGTACGCTTACTTGATGTTTATCATCCAAATTTAGTTTCTTGTTATCTCTGTTGAAGTGTAACTTTTTTTTTTGTCTACCATCAGGTGAAAGATACTTGAAAACATGGATAATTCCACAACCCAGAAGTCAGTAAAAGAGAGTGTGTTATTTTAGCTGAGTGATGGTTTATGAGATATGATAACAAATGAAGAAGCCCGTGTAAATTGTTTGAACGAGAAATTGGCTACGATAATATCATTAGGACAAGGCAATGCAGTTGATCCTGCTGCTCATTATGCTGCAGAATACCTATGTTATTGTTATAGACTTGAAGAGAAAAATATCTCTGCCCAAAGACAATTGAAGAGAAAAACATGACATAGTTACTCTTCATTAGGAATATTTACAGTTAGTTATACTACTTTTTTTTTGCAAGTATTTATGAATTCGTAGCATATATGTATTGGGTCTTGCTAGTGCACTCTTTAAGCATTCCAGAAAAAGAAAATATTTTATAGAAAGTTTAACCATTTCAATTTTTAGAAACGCAGATTTTCCAAGAAAAATTTACTATTTTGAGGTTTTAAAGAGTGCGCTGGTTAGTGTGTTTCCCATATGTATTACATTGTATTTAAACACCTTTTACAATGAAGTATTGTAGATCCTTTAAAATAATTTCCAATTTTTTTTTATTTTATATAAAGACCAACAATGCTTTTAAAATAATGCAGTCTTTTAATTTCCGTATTTTTTAAGGGGTTTTCTTTTTTGAGTTTGAAATAGATGCATTTACACTGTCATCTAATAAAAATATATTTTTTATAAATTATTTTTAAAAAATTGTAAATTTTTTGATGGAATTTCGTGATTGGTAGAAAATGTAAAATTGTATATTATTTATTTTCTCTTTTCTCTTACGCCAAAGTCCTCTTAAAGCTCAAATATTAATCAAGTTGCAATTTGATAGCAACCATGGATATATTTATTTTTTGTTCATGGATATATTTATTTTTTGTTCACCTATTTTGATTTTTAAATTTGATACCAACACACAAGAAATTCATATGGCTCCATAAAATTTGGAGATTTCTATAATTTTAATTAATGAAAAAGGATTAATAATATTTATTCTTAAGAGACATGTGATAGAATCCTATGTAAACGAGTTTAGTAAGTTGTGTATTAAATTTTTGAAATTTTATTTTTTATATAATTTATTGTTTTTATATTCTTAGCAAGATCCGTAAAAATTATATTTGAGAGTAGTATACAATTAGTTGTTAAATATATATATATATATATATATATATATATATATATATATATATATATATATATATATATATATATATATATATATATATATATATATATATATATATATATATATATATATATATATATATATAATAAAATAAATCGATCGAATCAAAGATTCTATAAAAAAAAATCTGTTGTTAAAAGATACACTTAATTAATTTCACAACAAAAAAAAAAGATCGACAATTAATTAATAGTATATTTATATTGATTCTGTATCACAAATTAAAAGATCGGATTGATTAATTTCACCACAAGAAAATCCTATTCATTAATTTCATAGTACGTGATCGTACCTGACCAGACTTGGACCGTCACGACTGGTCCGGGCAGAATTTGAGTGAGATGGGGTACCTGCAAGACACTCCGATGCTAAAATGAGTGACGGAATGAGCAGGCAAAAATGTATAGGTGCGTAATAGATGAATACATGATCCTCTAGGAACAGAGGGTATTTATAGCCCCCAGCGCTGGGCCAAGGTTCCCTCATTGGGCCGACCTGAACTGGCCCAATAAAGGAATTGTCACGTTCTACGTGTGTAGTCGGGATCCGCACGTGGTCCCCTTCCTGGTGATGCTCTGCAAAGAATGAGGAGGGACGAAGACGCGGTCTTTCCGGAGTTTAGATGGTTCGATAACGGTCAGAGAGGACAGAATCTTCCCTACGGGGAGAGTGCTCGAGCAGGACTCGAGCTGGAGTTCCCTTGGTCGGGGACACCATGTGTCGCGGGCAATAGCGGGCATGGCTATAGTCTGTGGTCGGGCACGTCAGCGATGATCCGCGAGTGCGCATTCCTCGAGGAGTTTGCTTGGATTGAGCCTTTATCTGCGCTTTGGGCCAGGGCAGGCCCAGTCAAGAACAGGAGCCCCCCAAGTCGTCGCTTGTAACACCCCTTCTAAAATACCCCGAATAATATTAATTATATCAATGATTAAATACATATTCCATCAGAGTTAACACGGAACAAGGGATGTCACAATTATGAAATAAATAAAACTTCCAATAAAACAGTAGTCATGCTACACTGAGGGTCATTATTCAAATAATTCAATCAAATTAAGACCATGTCTTACACAGCGGAAAAATACCATAACCAAAACGGAATAAACCAAAACATAATTATTCCCAATGAAATTCAAAGAAACAATTGAATAATAACTAATTCCTCAACTAAACGTTCCCCAGTGTTACAACCTATCAGAGCACGACACTGACACGCAGACTTAAAGTAACATAGCTCTAGAGCCATCCTCACCAACTCCTGAGCTGCTAACTTTAATCTGAAATTGTTAAAGTAAGGGTGAGATTTCTCATAATTAACATGCATTATAAGCTTCTCAATCAACATTATATCACAAGCATATTATTTCACCCATTTTAGCATAAATTCAGATTTAACACGCAGTTCCAATCATACAAGTCATTATGCACAAATCAATAATTAACCAAAGAATTGTAACACTGGAAGACATCCTAACATATTACAATTCCATGCAAACACAAATGCAGACACAATGCATGTGGTACCAACACGTGACCAAGTCACCCAACACTGATCCATCATCAATCGGATACAGCAATCATCGATTCGTCCATAAACACCCGGACACGAATCCAGCCTAACCACCCATCATCACCCGGGTATCGGTTAACGGCAATACAAGTCAAATTCCACACAATGGGAATTAACTTCACCAAAACAATGCATATGCACGCACATCACTAGCATGCAACATCAAATCAGTCTATGAAATACATCAATTTATCATAACTGAATCAAAACCAAAAACATGATATCTCAACGATCATGCACACCATCATTAGCAACATAAACATGTCTTTCATTCACACAATACTAATACATCCATCCATCACAGGTTCACTGCTACATACACACCCATGTGCGTTAGCCAATAATCACTTATTCCGGGATTTGACTCGTTTTCAAAATAATTTCAGGTTTTAGGAAATTTTTTCATTTTATAAAATAGAGCATTAAATTTAAGAAATAATGTCCAAAACGGCACTCAAAACGGACTTACAGTTTGAAAGTTATGAATTTTCAAAGTTTAATATTTTTCAAAAAGTTACAGCAGAACCCGGTTCCTACATATGCAGGAACCGGTTCCTGCGAAGTTCAAAAATCACGCTTCTGGAAAAATGTATGGGAACCCGCTTCCTACCTATACAGGAATCGGTTCCTACGTGCATTTTTTTCCAGTTTTTATAAATTCACACAGTGGAACCCGGTTCCTCCCCACTGGGAACCGGTTCTCACGACCTGCAGAGTCAAATTCTGCACTTTTGACAGCATTTATTCATTCTAAACCAATTCCAAACATACCCATACGAATTGCAACATGAGAAACACCAAAACACGTCCATTTTGCACCATTATAACATCAAACAACATTATTTCATCATTCCTTTTTATCATCTGACACCCTAATGGTTTTCAACCTACAATTCGACGCAATAGGGACAATTCTACGGAACCCTAGAATTCCAAACCGGGATTCCCTAACATACTATGATCCATACTATTGAATATCTAAACCGATAATACGAATTAACTAATCGAAATCACCCCTTACCTTGTGGATTCTTCGAATTCTGACGCTTCCGGTTTTCTCCTTCTTTTTCCTCTTCTCAAATGCACGTATGATGAATATTCCAAAATAACTCTCTTTCTCTTCTTTTTCCTTTTAATACTCCTTTTATTATTCCAATAAAATAATTAAATGAGTAATTAGTAAGAGTAGAGTATTTTACCCCTCACACCCTCTAATCACTCTTCACACCACCAATACTTCTTTCCTTTAATTAATTAAATTAATTCCAATAATCCAAAAATACCAATAATTAAATTTCCAATTAAATTAATAATTAAAAATTCTAATTATTTAATAATCGGATTATTTGGGGTGTCACAACTCTCCCCAACTAAAAGAGTTTTCGTCCTCGAAAACATACCTTAGACCAACAGTTTGGGATACGAGTCCTTCATCTGACCCTCCAGCTCCCGAGTGACATTTCCATCTGCTGGTCCTCCCCAAGCCACTCTTACCAACGCGATCTCCTTGCCTCACAACTGTTTTAACTTCCGATCCTCAAATCTCGCAGGTACTGCTTCCACAGTCAAATTCTCTCGTACATGTATATCGTCTACCCGAATCTCATGAGACGGATCAGCAATGTACTTCCTTAGCTGAGATACATGAAAAACATCATGCAAATTTGCAAGTGACGGCGGCAAAGCAATCTGATAAGCAACTTTCCCAACTCTCTTGGTAATCTGAAACGGACCAATAAAACATGGAGTCAACTTCTTTGACTTCAAAGCTCGACCAATACCAGTCATCGGAGTAACTCGCATAAAAACATATTCTCCTTCGCTAAACTCAAGATCTTTCCTCCTCTTATCGTAATAAGTTTTCTGACGACTCTGAGAAGTCCTCATCTTCTCCTGAATCATCTTAATCTTTTCCGAAGTCTATTGGACAATTTCTGGTCCAATCACAGCACTCTCTCCAGATTCATACCAACACAACGGTGTCCGACACCTCCTACCATACAATGCCTCAAACGGAGCCATACCAATGCTTGAATGAAAACTATTGTTGTAGGTAAACTCAATCAATGGTAGATAACTATCCCAAGCTCCACCTTTCTCCAACACACAAGCTCTTAACAAATCTTCCAACGACTGAATCGTTCTCTCCGTCTGACCATCTGTCTGTGGATGATAAACGGAACTCAAACGCAACTTAGTACCCAAAGCTTCTTGCAATCCCGTCCAAAATTTAGATGTAAACCTCGGATCTCGATCCGACACAATACTAGAAGGAATACCGTGCAAACTCACAATCTTCTCAACATACAATTCTGCCAACCTTTCCATCGGATAATCCATTCTTATCGGAATAAAGTGAGCAGATTTCGTCAACCGATCAACAATAACCCAGATAGAATCACAATTCTTCGATGTCCTTGGTAAACCAGACACAAAATCCATAGAGATTCCATCCCATTTCCATTCCGGAACAAACAACGGTTC